ATATATGAGCGACCCCAAAAATTCAACCAGAGAACTCCTTCACCTGATAAACACCTTCAGCAAAGTGGCAGGATACAAAATCAACTCAAAAAAATCAGAAGCCCTCCTGTATACCAAAGACAAAAAGGCTGAGAAAGAAATTAGGGAAACAACACCCTTCACAATAGCTACTAATATCATAAAGTGCCTTGGTGTGACTCTAACCAAGCAAGTGAAAGACCAGTTTGAGAAAAACTTCAAGTCTCTGAAGAAAGAAATTGAAGAAGATATCAGAAGATGGAAAGATCTCCCGTGCTCATGGATCTGTAAGACTAACTGTTGGAGGCCCTCTGCTATAGCCATGCAAAGAATACCTGAATCAAAGATGTATCCTCAAATATCAGACAGAGAAAATCAAGACACCAAATTTGTTTTAGTTAGCTGGCTCAGCATTTAAAATCATTGATAAGATTTCCACTAGTATTGAGATCTATTCCTAGCACTGACATTGTGGCTCACAACTTTCTGTATGTGTAGTTTCAGAAAATCCAATACCTATTTTGGCTTCTGCAGGCAATAGGTATAGTGAAAATGGCCATCCTGTAAAAAGCAATCTACAGATTTAATGCAATTCCCATAAAAATACAAACACAATTCTTTATAGAATATGAAAGAACAATTCTCAATTTCATATGGAAAAGCAAATACCCAGAAATGCTAAAACAATCCTGTACAATAAAGGAGCTTATGGAGATATCACCATCCCTGATCTCAAGCTGTACTAGAGACCCACAATAATAAAAACTCCATGGTACTGGCATAGAAAAAAAATGTTGGATCAATGGAACCAAATAGAAGTCCCAGAAATAAACCCACACACTAATAGATATTGATTTTTGACAAAGAAGCCAAAATGATACAACAAAAAAGAGATAGCATCTTTAACAGACAGATCGAACTGGATGTCCACATGTAAAAAAAATGCAAATAGATGCATATTTATCATCATGCACAAAACTAAAGTCCAAGTGGATCTCAACACAAAACCAGATACACTGTTAGAAGAAAAACTGGAGAAGAACTTTGAACTCATTGGGACAAGAGACAACCTTCTGAAGAGAACACTAACAGCACAAGCTCTAAGGTCAACAATCAATAAATGGGAAACTGAAAGTGTCTGTAAAGCAAAGGACACTGCCATTAAAACAAAATGAGAGCCTAGAGACTAGGAAAGGGCCTATAGACTAGGAAAGGATCTTCACCAACCCTATATCTGACAGAGGGCTAATATCCAGAATACAAAAAGAACTCAAGAAACCAAAAATCAACAAATCAATACTCCAAGTAAAAAAAAAAAAAAAGGAGAGCAGAGCTAAAGGGAGAATTCTCAACAGAGGAATATTGAATGGCAGATAAACACTTAAAGAAATGCTCAAAGTCCTTAGTCATCTGGAAAATGCAAATCAAAATGATCCTGAGATTTCACCTTACACCCATCAGAATGGCTAAGATCAAAAACTCAAGTGACAATGCATGCTGGAGAGGATGTGGAAAAAGGGGAACCCTCTTCCATTGCTGGGGTAAATATAAACTTGGACAACCACTTTGAAAAATCAGTCTGGTGCATTCCCAGACAATTAGGAATAGTGCTACCTCAAAATCCAGTTATACCGCTTCTAGGCATATTTCCAAAATATGCTCAAGTATATGACAAGGACAGTTGTTCAACCACGACCAGAGCAGCTCTATTCCTAATAGCTAGAATATGGAAACAACCCAGATGTCCCTCAGCAATTAAAAACAAGGAAATCATGAAATTTGTAGGCAAATGGTAGGAACTAGAAAAGATCATCCTGAGTGAAGCAGAAAGACACACATGGTATATACACACTTATCAGTGTATATTATACATATAACAGGATAGATATACTAAAATCTAAAGAAGCTAAGCAAGGAGGAGGACCCTGGGTAAGACTATTAATCATCATTCAAAAAGGTAAAAGGGATGGGCATGGGAAGAATGAGAAAACAGGGAATAGGACAGAAGCCTACCACAGAGGACCTCTGTAAGACTCTACTCAGCAGGGTATCAAATCAGATGCTGAGATTCATAGCCAAACTTTGGGCAGAGCGCAAGGAATCTTATGAAAGAAGTGGGAGATAGAAATACCTGGAGGTGACAGGAGTTCCACAAGGAGATCAATTGAAACAAAATATCTGGCTATGGGGTTCTTTTCTGAGGCTGATACTCCAACCAACAACTATGGAAGGCAATAAGCTAAAACTGCTATACAGATATAGCCCATGGCAGCTCAGTCTCCAAGTGGGTTCCTTAGTAATGGGAACAGGGAAGTGAACCCAGGACCTCTGGAAAAGCAGCTGGTGCTCTTAACCACTGAGCCATCTCTCGGTCCAAGATATGGTTAGTTACAATATTCTCATTAGGATAATAATAGTAACAGACAATGCAGGCACATTAATAGGAAAGAAAATACATATGAGATATTTCTTGCATTATTTCTAAATTTCTGTGGCATCAGATAATTTACATTAAAAATTACAGAATACTTCATGAATTGTTTATTTGCTTAGAGTAAATAAATTTGAAACCTAATACAATGAAATAATCTTTTAATCCATTAATTTAAAAGGAAATTAATCTACAAATTAATCTACATTGTTTTGAATTCTCTTCTATTTCTGTAAGATTTTAGGAAAAGTGGTAGAACAATAAATGGTAGAACAGTTCTGACAATGACTGCCATCAAAACATTTTGTCAACCAAACCCTGACAAAATGAGAGACATTGGTGCACTCTTGATGAGCTGCTTGTGTTTGTGTTTCAGGCAGTGCTGGGAAATACCTGTGTATAGTAGTACATTATCTTTGTTAAATTTCCTGAGAAAAGGGGAACTAGAAAACGCAATCAGGGCACCAATTAAAAGAGCAATCAGGAGATGAAGAAAGATCAGTGGATACAGAAGAGTAGACACCAAAAGCATATTTCTCAGTTAAATGAATGCAGACCAGATACACTATAGACCTCTGTGAAATGATTTAGAGGACACCAAATGGCCATTCTGACTGTGTACGAAGAAAAGACCACAGGGATGCAATTCGTGGAAATAAAGACCTCAAGTATATGGCTACAGGCAAGAGTGGAGGATGAGGATCAAGATATATAGTTGGGGTGGAACCAATTTCTGCTAACACACAGAAGGATATGAATGTAGAAAACAATCCAGGATGCTTTTCAGACACACTTCTAGCAATATCCTAAAACACTTGCAGTTGCTCACATACATATATAATATATATATATAATATATAACATATATAATATGTAGTATATAATATATACTATATTATAAATATTTATATATTTATATTTAATATATTAATAAATATTTATGGTTTATATATTTATATAATATATATTTATAATATATAATAAATAAATGTAGATCTTATAGTCCAGGAAAAAATACTAACTAGTATAAGTGTACTCAGAAAAATGTTTGGGATTAAGTGTTTATTAATTTTTTATAGTAAAAATGTTGTTTTCCTCAAATGAACTACTTTGATTTTTTTTTTGACTATATAGAAAGTTAAATAATTTTTTACAGGATACAATCATTTGGTTCATCAAGGACAAGCAAGATACCGATTGCTCATGTAACTAAAGTAAAGTGTTTTCAGTTTTGGGCTTTTTGGTGTATGACATAGAGAAAAGCATATACAGATGTACACTGGTATCTGAGCTGCCAAAATTAGAGAGTAAGGGAAAAGGAGAGTAACAAGGGGCATCAGTTATGATGCAGTGAAAGGGTTTCACTCAGCATCCAGAGTCCCCAGTCTTCTAGGCCTGAGATACATTTGTGATTTTATATGAATTAAATTATGATTTTTAACAAATTATATCTACTTTGAAGTGCTGCAGTGAGATACAAATTGTTGCATCAACATATAAAATTTTGGATCTGTGGCTATTTATGCTATGTTAGTTTCAAACTGAATGTAACACCACCCCCAAATATCTGATAATTTTTGACATCTGAACATATTTTTATTCCACTGCCGTTTATTTTTTACTTAACTTTCCACCAATGTTATAAGAAATAAACAGTAACATCACATTGATCAGAATTCACTTTCATAACTATATTTAATTTTGTAAATTTCTACCTATTGCTTTCTGTGAATTTCTTGTGTATTCATAAATTTACAAATTCTCTTGCTCTATTTCAGGGTCTTTTATAGAGATGTGTGATGTCTGTATTAGATAAGCACACTTTGTTTCCTCAATAATGAGATACACTTGAATGTTCGTCTAGAGAGATCAGACTTTCTACATCTTTCAAAAAGCTACAAAAAAGTGGTCACCCTCACATAATGAACATTTCAATATGCACATTTGTATAATTGAGGCAAAGCACTGGAAACATATGGCAAACATAAACATTTTAAAATCTTTCTGAGAATAAAAAATGATTAGCAAGGAAACACTGAGATGAAAAATAAAATATGAGATAAAAAATATATATGTTGAGAAAAAAAATCTCCCAAAATTTAGTGGTGAGAGACCTGTTGTAAAATCAGCTGTATGTAACAAAGTCAATGTCACATTCACAACATTCCAGGCACTCAGCAGTCTTTACATTCAATGGCATCATCTCTTTCTACAGAACATGTCAGGACTTGAAGAAAGCCAAGAAGTACCATGTCAAACTTAGAGAAAAGTATCCCTACCATGAAATCATAACACTGAATATATTCGAATCATTTGGCATAACAAGCATGATGTAAAATGTCATGAGGTTCCAATAGCATATGAGGAAAGTAAAATGAATAATACAAAAATTATCACTTTTTCTTTGAACGAGGAAAAGTACACATGAAAATATACTTCAATACTTTTGATAATGGAAAAGACTGATCGTGAAAAACACAATGAAGTTTTAATCCATCTGTCATTTAAATCACAAAAATTCTGGACAATTACAATTAATGATTGTACTTACTGTAGGTAAAAGTCAGGGAAAGACGTTTCCTTTAGAAAGGTTTTGGTTGTGTAAAAAATATGAAGAGGGAAAAATACACCAACTCTCACATCTCCTTCAAGGCAAAAATCTTCCTTGATGGTTACATAACAGTCATTGTCAGTAAAGGCACACACAAAATTGGGAATGTACAGGAGCCCAAATGTAATAATCAAGAACATCCTATTAACACACACATATGCTCAGACATAAGACTGGTGGATACAACTGTAACTATGTCCAGCAGGTATATATTAAGCTCAAGTGTTTGGGAACATGAGTGTTTCTCACTTTGTTAATGAGTGCAGTGGTCACACTAATCACCCCAAGTCCTTCTAGACACTTCCTCTACTGACATTGATATTTCCGAAACTCTTCCCTTAGGCTCTCCATCTGAGGTCCTTCCTGTGTTCTGCTTGAAAACAAGTTGGAAAAATATGTTTTGAATCATCTGTAGCCACAGGCACCATGATTTCAGCAAAGAAGATAGACAGCAAGAGCTCAGGGATGAGCTTCCTGATTGGAGTGTTTTGGCCAAGTTTGAAGCAAGAAATTTTTCATATGAAAACAACTTTGGCTTATGAAGACATGCTACATCAAAAGAAGTCCTGAATATGCCCATTATATGCAGATATAGCAAAATAAATGGACCACACTCTTCCAAACCAATGATAACCAGTAGAATTGACTCTTCCTACTGACTATAAGTGATTCAGATTTTCTTCTACTATACATACATCTGTATCTTGAAAATACTGTCTGCACCCGACAGAGTCAGCTTATTTCTCACTTTGGAAAAGCCAACAGTCCTCTCTTCTAAAACATCTACTTAATTGCGGTGCAGACACCAAGTCCACTGCTTACATTCTGAGATTTAAATTACTCCACTCTATTCTATTCTTTCATTCTGGATTAGTCATTGAGTAGAGGTGTCCTTATGATCCATACCTGCTTCTAAAGAAATGTGTTTATCCACTGCTTACCATGCTTTGAAAACATTAGGATGTGTAAGAAATCCTTCTCAGTTCTTTAAAAATGCAATCATTTAAAGGCATCACAGAGGATACTTTCAACTAATATACTGAAGTTTAGGGCATTGCATGTACTGTGCATTCGAATATGGTAATGGAAGAATGTCCCCTCAAATAATTTTACTTCCCTAAGAAAGGATGGGTGAGTAGAGTGAACAAAAAATTTAAATCAAACAAACAAACAAAAAAAAACCAGCACTACAATTAGGAATGTTAGCTGGCCAAACTGTAGTTTGTTAGGATATCTTTTTCTGTTTCACATTAACAATTTGCAAAGACTACATACTTGAGAGAACCTATCTGTTATAAGACTATATGCAATCAAAAGGCACAGGGAAATCAACCTCTCAATAAATCAGAGTTCAGTGCAATCCTGGATAATAGAGCAAACCCATATGTCAATCAATTAAAAGTTATTCCTCCCTTAGGGCACCAAAGTGTATAATATGAATTTAATTGATAAATTTTTAATGTTAATTACACTTTATTCGCTTTGTATCTCCAGCTGTAGCCCCCTCTCTTATTCCCTCCCAATTCCACCCTCCCTCCCTCTTCTCCCAAGCCCCTCTCCAAGTCCACTGATAGGGAAGGTCCTCCTCCCCTTCCATCTGACCCTAGCTTAACAGGTCTCATCAAGGCAGGCTGAATTGTCCTCCTATGTGACCTGGCAAGGCTGTTCCCCCCTCATGGGGAGATGTTCAAATAGCCAGCAACAGAGTTCATGTCAGAGATAGTCCCTGTTCTTATTTCTAGGTAACTCACTTGGATACTGAGCTACCATGTGCTACATCTAAGCAGGGGTTCTAGGTAATATACAGGAAAGGTCCTTGGTTTGATTATCAGTCTCAGAAAAGACCCCTGTGCCAGATATTTTGGTACTGTTGCTCTCCTTTTTAGAGCTCCTGTCCTCTCCAGGTCTTACTAACTCCCCCTTCTTTTCATAAGATTTCCTGCACTCTGCCAAAAGTTTGGTTATGAGTTTCAGCATCTGCTTTGATACACTGCTGGGTAGAGTATTTCAGAGACCCTTTGTGGTAGGATTCTGTCCTATTTCCTGTTTTCTCCTTCTTCCAATGTCCATCCTGTTTGTCTTTTTGAGTGAGGATTGGTCATCCTACCAGGGTCCTCCTCCTTGCTTGGTATCTTTAGATTTGTGTAGATTTATCCTATATTATATGTCTAGTAACCACTTATAAGTGAGTATATACTGTGTGTCTTTCTGTTTCTGAGATACCTCACTCAGGATCTTTTCTAGATCCCACCATGTGCCTGTAAAATTCATGAGTTTCTTGTTTTTAATTGCTGAGTAGTGTTCCATTGTGTAAATGTACCACAATTTTTGTATCCATTCCTCAGTTGAGGGTCATCTGGGTTGTTTCCAGGTTCTGGCTATTGTGAATAAAGCTGCTACAGACATGGTTGAACAAATGCCCTTATTGTATACTTCAGCATCTTTTGGATATATGCCTAGGAGTGGTATAGCTGGATCTTGAGGAAGCATTATTCCTAAATTCCTAAGAAAGCATTAGATTGATTTCCAAAGTGGTTGTACAAGTTTACATTCCCAAAAACAATGGAGAATTCCCTTTTCTTCACATCCTCTCCAGCGTGTATTGTCACTTGAGATTTTTATCTTAGCCAGTGTGATGGGTGTAAGGTAAAATATCACGGCCATTTTAATTTGCATCTCCATGGTGACTAAGGACGTTGAGCATTTCTTTAAGTGTTTCTTTGCCATTCTATATTCATTTACAGAGAATTCTGTTTAGCTCTGTACCCCATTTTTAATTGGATTACTTTATTTTTTGCTATTTAACTTCTTGAGTTCTTTATATATTCTGGCTATTAGAACTCTGTCAGATACAGGGTTGGTGAAAATCATTTCCCAGTCTGTAGGCTGTTGTTTGGTTTACAGAAGCTTTTCAGTTTCAGGAGGTCCCACTTATTATTGATCTTAGAGCCTGTGCTTTTGGTGTTCTGTTCAGAAAGTTGTGTCTCCTGTGCCAATGAGTTCTACACTCTTCCGCACTATTTCTTCTAACCGATTTAGTGTGTCTGGTTTCATGTTGTGGTCTTTGATCCACTTGGACTTTAGTTTTGTGCATGGTGATAAATATGGATCTATTTGCATTTTTCTACATATGGACATGCAGTTAGACCAGCATCATTTGTCGAACATGCTGTCATTTTTCCATTATATGGTTTTGGCTTCTTTGTCAAAAATCATGTATCCATAGCTGTGTGGATTTATTTCTGGATCTTCTATTCGATTCCATTGATCCACCATTCTGTTTCTCTGTCAGTACCATGCAGTTTTTATTACTATTGCTCTGTAGTACAGCTTGAGATCAGAGATAGTGTTACCTCCAGATACGATCTTTTGTTGTACAGGATTGTTTTTGCAATTCTATGTTTTTGTTTTTCCATGAGTTTGGGAATTATTCTTTCAAGATCTGTAAAGGATTGTGTTGGTATTTTGATGGGAATTGCATAGATAGCTTTTGGCAGGATGTCCGTTTTCATTTTGTTAATTCTACCAATCCATGAGCATGGAGATCTTTTCATCTTCCAGTATCTTCTATCTCGTTCTTCAGAGACTTGAAGGTTTTTTCGAATAGGTCTTTCACTTCCTTGGTTAGAATCACACACAAGATACTTTATGTTATTAGGGGCTATTTTGAAGGATGTTGTTTCCTTAATTTCTTTCTCAGCCCTTTTGTCTTTCCTGTACAGGAGGGCTACTGATTTTTTTCTTAGTTAATTTTGTATTCAGCCACTTTGCTGAAGGTGTTTATCAGCTGAAGGAGTTCTCTGGTTGAATTTTTGGGGTCACTCATGTATACTATTCTATCATCTGCAAATAGTGATACTTTGACTTCTTCCTTTCCAATTTGTATCCCTTGATCTCCTTTAGCTAGGGCTTCAACTACTATGTTGAAAAGATAAGGAGAATGTGGGCAGCCTTGCCTTGTCCCTGATTTCACTGGGATTAATTTAAGTTTCTCTCTGTGTAGTTTCATGTTGGCTAAAGGCTTGCTGTATACTGCCTTTACTATGTTTAGATATGTGCCTTGTATCCCTGATCTCTCCAAGACTTTAAGCATAAATGTGTGTTGGATTTTGTCAAATGCTTTTTTTGGCATTTAAGGAGACGATCATGTGGTTTTTCTCCTTCAGTTTCTTTATATGGCAGATTACATTGATGTATTTTCGTATGTTGAAACACCCCTGCATTTCTGGGAAGAGGCCTATGTGGTCATGGTGGATGATATCTTTTATGTGTTCTTTGATTCGGTTTGCAAGTATTTTATTGATTATTTTTGCATCAATGTTCGTAAGCGAGATAGGTCTTAAATTCTCTTTTTTTGTTGGGTCTTTGTCTGGTTTAGGTATCAAGTTGACTGTGGCTTCAAAGAATGAGTTTGGTAATGTTCCTTCTGTTTCTGTTTTGTAGAATAGTTTGAAGAGAATTAGAGTTAGCACTTCTTTGAAGGTCTGGTAGAATTCTGCGCTGAAGTCATCTGACCCAGGCCAATTTTGGAAATGATACTGTTGATGACGGCTTCAATTTCTTTGGAGGATAAGAGCATTCAATCTTTCTACCTGATCTTAATTTTGGTAAATGGAATCTTATCAAGAAAAATGTCCATTTCCTTTAGATTTTCAAATTTTGTTGCATATAGGCTTTTGCAGTAAGATCTAATGACTGTTTCAATTTCCTCAGTCCTATAGTTATGTCTCCCTTTTCATTTCTGATTTGGCTAGTTTTTCTCTGTCTTTTAGTTAGCTTGGCTAAAGGTTTGTCTATCTTTTTGATTTTCTCAAAGAACCAGTTCTTGGTTTCACTGATTCTTTGACTAGTTTTATTGATTTCAGTCTTGAGTTTTATTATTTCCAGCCATCTGCTCCTCTTGGGTATATCTGCTTCTTTTTTTTCTAGGGCTTTCATTTGGGCCACTAAGTTACTTGTATGAGATGTTTCAAATCTCTTCTTGAAGACACTTAGTGCTATGTATTTTCCTCTTAGTATTGCTTTCATTTTGTCCCATAAGTTTGGGTATGTTGCACCTTGGTTTTCATTGAATTCTAGGAAATCTTTATTTCTTCCTAACCCAGCTATCACTGAAATGTTCAGTTTCTGTGAGTGTATA